AATATCTATAATAGTCATAACGATTTTGGTATTGACAGAGGCATGCGCGTTATGGACGCCGAAACTAATACAATTATCCCATTGTCCCATTCGCACTTACACGTACACAGCTAATTTGTTTTCTATTTGATTGAAACAACACCACGTGGGATTTATTTTCTGCGAAGAAAATGTAATTTGGTGAAAGACGTATTATTTTGTTTTGCCTGTCATAATGTATTGATAGTACGGTAATGCATGTAATAGGTAATACCTAACTAATAGGGTAGAGAGATTTGAGGCTCGGCTCGCTTTTCACATTTATGTTTTTTGCTGGAATATCATTGATTTTTGAAAAAAGTTTTATCCTTATGTGTAAGTGTACTTACTATAGCCTACTACACTTACTAACGTGGCGGTCTCTAAATTCGAATCAATCGCAAAATTTGTAGTAAGTATGTGAAGAAGCAGATCAATCCTTGCCGGCACCTTTGAGTTGTTAATTTCGGTATAAAATGCTAAAGTAAAACAAATAAAAAAAAGTTAAAGCCGGTGAAAGGAAAATCGCAAGGAAAGCGTTTAACGGTGGTAGAGCCACGCGGCAGCTTTTGCTGTCGCACGGATGGGCCGGCTCGAACCGGGGTGGTACCACGACCTCACAGAATACCAGCGTGAAGTAGAGGTTTACCTCTGCGTTTCGTTTGGTGAGTGCAGGTGGCCGGAGGCCCTTTTTTCTGGAAATGAGGCATTCCATCTTAGTCCTCACGGGTGACAACGCATCTACATATTGATTTGTAATAGAGGATAGATGTAGATGTCTATGGGCCGCAGCAACCACTTACCATCAGGTGGACTGTGTGCTGGTTTGTCATCCTTATCCTATAAAAAAAAAACTCACCATCAGGTGGACTGTGTGTCACCCTTGTCCTATAAAAAATGTGTTTTATAAAGTAAACAAATTTATAGTCTTTATACGTCCCACTGCTTGGCGCGGGCCTTCTCGCAAACGAGGATAGATGTAGATGTCTATGGGCCACAGCAATCACTTACCATCAGGTGGACTGTGTGCTCGTTTGTCACCCTTATCCTATAAAAAAAACCGGCAAGGTGCACTATCTATTCGTTTATAGTTCGATAGGACGCCAATTTAACACAACCGGAGAACAGACGCAGGACCAACGGCGTAACGTGCTTTCCGAGGCCGGATGTGAATCACCACTACATTTTCTGACTCCGGGTTGCTACTTAGAATGTCTTGTCAACTGAATGAACCGTAAAGACTAACATTGATTTGGACCACCCGGGATTCGAACCCGGAACCACATGATTAGAAGTCGCGCTTAAGATTGTTAGACCAATGAGGCAGTCAAATATCGATGACATTGCGTATTTGAAGACGAATTAACGATGATACACACACCTCACCCATCTACGGTTTTTTTTATAGGATAGGGTGACAAACGAGCACACAGTCCACCTGATGGTAAGTGGTTGCTGTGGCCCATAGACATCTACATCTATCCTCGTTTGCGAATCAAAATGCAGATGCGTTGTCACCCGTGAGTACTAAGATGGAATGCCTCTTTTCCAGTAAAAAGGGTCTCCGGTTCTCTACACTCACCATACGAAACACAGCAGTGTTAAGCTGCTATTTTACGCTAGTATTCTGTGAGAGCGTGGTCCTTCCCCGGTCGAGCCGACGCATTCGCGCTACAACTATACTACTAATATAGCCGCAGCATGGTTCTACCACGTACGTTATAACACATTCATCTCTCATTTTAGTAAATACGCTCCATGTCGCCCCGTAATATCGAATTAAGTGTTTACAGTGTAGTGGGGTGCGTGCACTTTTGATTATTTTTATTTACAACTGGCCCATTGCCAGGGAAATTTTTGCTGCAAACGCCTTATAAATAATTTCTTTTACGTGTCGGCCCCGTTTCGCCTTTGCTATTTTTATGTTCCCGCATGATTCATGTCGTAGTGTGGAAGCTCTCAAACATGTTGTCATATAGTACGTTACACCGATGTAGATTTTTTTTATAGAATAAGGGTGCAAGCGAGCACACAGTAAACTTGGTGATAAATATGACATAGACATTATAGGTTCTTTGCACTCACCATACGAAACACAGCAGCATTATTCTGCTATTTCACGCTGGTGTTCTGTGAGAGCGTGGTCCCACCCCGGTCGAGCCGACCCATTCGTGCCACAACCATAATATAACTGCAGCGTGGCTCTACCACGTAGACTTTAACCTAACAAGTCAAAGAAAATTATGATTGGATGTTCCCCTGTCTGAACTTTGTTAAGTAAATTATTCGTTCATTTTAGTTCGAATCAATTCCTACTATGCTAGGTCTCTTACGCTTAGGAATTCGTCAGATCAGGTTAAGGTAACAATTTCTTACATATTTTTGCCGCCAAATAGCAGTGCTTGTACGGCTGTGGTCCGATCTGAAGAGCATTGAGAGTGAGTATAAATACAGGCTGTGAAGCATTCCACTAGACCTCAAAGGTGCCAACGCATCTCTAGTTTCTTTGTTTGAAGTTGGCTTCCGTGTCCATGGACTGCAGTAGTCACTTACCATCTGGATCACTTACAGATGTGCTCTAATATGACGCAGAATTATTCTAGTTTGGGGTCCAACTGAAAATATTTGTGCATTTTGTCTTGAACATTGTTTAGTTTACTTTTCTTGCATACATTTGTTAAATCAATATGTCAATGAAATTTATTTATTTATTTTATGTTCGTTAGTCACTTGTATTTTATAAAAGAAAAGACATATTAATTAAATTATCACAACTTTCGGAATTTCTAAACTTTTGATCACGAAATCACAATATATATTAATAATGAAATATGTGAAAGCGTGAAAGTTTATGAAGCTGATTAGATGTTTGTTATTTTATCAACGACACGGAAACTTGGCACACAGATTAAAACATTTACTATATGACCACGTGGGATACTTTTACCACCGGAAACTATAAGTTACAGGAAATTTTCTGCCGACTTCCAAAAAGGAGACTGTACTCAATTCGGCTGTATGTTTTTTTTTATGTGTATTACCTCATAACTTTGTACTGGGTGAACCGATTTCGATGATTCTTTTTTTTTATATGAAAGCTGATAGTTCTCGTGTGGTCCCATATGAATTTCATATGAATTTGATCAAGGTCAGACCAATAGTTTTTGAGTTATTCTTAAATAACTTTTAATTTTAAATTAAGTATATATAAGGGCGTTCCTGTTTCCATCTAGGCAGAGCCGTAATGAAATGTTCAATACATGAACTCTTTTTAATTTATGTTACTTAATTCCGTTGTTATCGGAAACGTATAGACATTTACTTAATGATTTACGATATTGTTACTGAATCATATTATCATAATTTTTATTCTTAAAAAATGTTTGGTTTGTCATGAGTTTAAGTATTTATCACATCGCGTGTCGTAATTCAAGGGTTATCATCGTATTTCTAATTAATTATAAACAATGACAACCAACTCTTGTGAACTTAGTGTTATTATATTGTACACTATCGTATGCCATTTGTGGAACTGTGTTCATTGACTCTTGAGGCTCTATACGGATCGTCCAACACTTCAACAAACTCTCCAATACTAATATGAGTACTAAAGATGTGCATGCGCGTTACCTAGCCGTCAAGTTCTATTTTTATAGTTTTATACATCAAAATTATTTTTATTATGATGTATAATTAACATCCAGCGCCCTCTTTTTCAGTGTCTTTTTTTTTTTGATAATGCGTCTTATAAGGAGAGCATGGATTATTGTTGGAATGAGTTTGGTCAGATTTGGGCAAAAAATTGGTGTTGGACGATTAGACATTCCTAGCTGTGAAACTTATTTATATTGTAACTATAATAACACTTATATGTAAGTTGACATGAAGCTAGTTGTATAGAAGCATAATAAAAGAAGTAACTTATGGTATTCTCATAAAACACCAGCGTAAAATAGCAGCCTAACGCTGCTGTGTTTCGTATGGTGAGTGTAGAGAACCGGATACCCTTTTTACTGGAAACGAGGCATTCCGTCTTAGTCCTCACGGGTGACAACGAATCTGCATTTTGATACGTAATCGAGGATAGATGTAGATGTCTGTTGACCACAGTAACCACTTACCACCAGGTGAACTGTGTGCTCGTTTGTCACCCATTATCCTATAAAAAAAAGCTTGGAATCCGGCATTAATTTGAGAACGTAGTTATATGCCCACTTTTTTGATGCAGATTCAGATGTGTTGTCTGTCACCCCTGAGGGCTAAGATGGAGTACTATATTTTCAGTGAAACGGGTCTCAGGTTCTCTACACTCACCATACGAAACGCAGCAGCAGCAGTACACTGTTATTTTACTTGTGAAAGCGTGATCCTTCCCTAGTTGAGCCCGACCCATTCGTGCTACAAAGTAGTTGCGCATTTGCGGTATGGCTCAACCACGTGTAAAAACTTAAGACTTATACATACATGCTACGCGTTGCGTTACGTTTGCACGAACCCGGAATCTACACGTGTATAGAAAAATATATTTTGAACACGACTGCACCGCATACGATCTAACGTGACTTTCGTCGCGTAAGTTCTGTATGCGGGAATTTCACTAGCACCGTTACATTGTCAAGATTGAGATAATCCTATGCAATGAAGGCACTGGTTTGGGACCTCTACATACATTCATACACTATTCTATATAGCTTAGCTATTGTATAATTAATTAATTCTATTAGTTTAGCTATTATTTTAGCTATCGTTACTAGCCTCGATGTCGCCCGAAGTTGCCGTAATATTTATTTATATACCATGTTCAACTATAGTTAAGAATCATCGAGGTGATCCCATAAAAATTTAATCAAAATCTTTCAAGCCGTTTAGGAGGACAAGAATTACTAGCATACGTACACTAGAATAATATTTAATATAATTATAACAAAAATAAAAAAATATATATAAATAAATATCTAATTTTTGATATTATTTAATTGCAGATTTGGGGCGATCTGCGGGAAGGCATCGAGCAAGTGTACAAGAGACAGTATATGGTGAAAAACAGATATATCTACTTGTATACGTATCCTTTATAATATTGACACATGACACATTATTTTATCCTAACTTGATATGCAGGTCTTGGGCCTTATCTGGATAATACATGTCTACTATCGTGGTTTGATGTTTAATTGAAGGTAGTATTAGTGCAACACACACATTGGTGTTGTGTAAGTACGTTGCGGTAGAGATATTTATGTTGAAGATGTGCAATAGACTGTGTCAATAATGCTTACGCCACTATTTGCGCACTATTTCAAAAGTAAAGTAAGTTTGATAAAGGCCGATTTAATTTTGGCGGAACTTGTTTGTGCAGTTTTTTTTTGTTGATAATTGCGATTGCGTACTTCGTAGTAGTGTGGTTATTGCACATATCAAAGACTATTGAACGATCTACGGATCAATTGAATAGCGGTATTAACAGGTTCTCTGTCCGCAATATAGACACAATAGTTACACAATTAAAATGTTCATATATGATTCGTGGGGCAGAAAAAGGGTTAATGTCGCCGCCTCTATGCATCACATTAGCACCAAGCAGGCTTAAAAGTTTACTGCATATCAGAAAGTCAGCGCTCATATCTAAGAGGATTGGTGGATAGAGTCCACCGCACTGTTCTATGTAGATAACAATTTTGAACGTTGATATAATATCGTGCTTATGGTGTTAATGTCATGCTAGAGTTGGAGATGTAAGGAAAACTCTGTTCCATTGTTCTCCCAATGAAACCTTAGTCCCAGGAAATAAAACTAATATTACGAGTTAGTTGACTGGCGCGCATGTCAATTGAGATATTTTTATTGAGCTCTAGAAATAAAAAAAAAATCTCTCATATAGAGTTACAAGGAAATAAACAAGGAGTAAATTACATTATAGTATTTTAAAGTCGAATAAACATCTGATCACTATATTTAAAAAAAAATGTTATTCTTAGTACTGCACGTCACAAGTGTATTAGCTTTTTAGCTTCACAAACTTGCAAAAGTTATCTTTAATATATAAAAATTACGTGTCACGTTGTTTGTCCGCGATGGACTCCTAAACCACTGAACTGATTTCAATGAAATTTTGCACACTGTCTGCGTTTTGGTCCAACTTGAGAGATAGGATAGTTTTTATCACGATAAATAATCCTCAAAATTTTTTATTGCGAATTTAAGGCTTTTTATAGGAAGGGTCGTTGGAAAGGGCAGAACAACGTCCGCCTGGCAAACTAGTTTTTGTATATAATGTATCTCAGCGGGACGGTGACGTGAGGTCAGTGCTTGCCCAAAAGTGCCCAACGTGCCTAAATAAGTTTTCACTTAAAAAATCATTTAACTCAAAAGACGCTACCAAAGTAATTTGTTACAAGTAATTTACTATTAAAATTATTTATATAAAAGAATATTTCCCAGTAGTGACTTTATAAATTATTCAAGAAACGCAGTAAGCAGTTAGAAGAAATTACAAGATAACCTCAAAATAGATGAGGTATGCAAAAATCAGCAACACAAATCACCTTGATTTAAGGTTATTGCAGAGAAGCTGCCTTTAAAGTTAAAGTTACAGCCTATGTATACGTCCCACTGCTGGGCACAGACCTCCTCTCATTTCTGAGAGGGTTTTAGGGCAAGGAAATGTCCGCCGCGCTGTCCCAATGCGTGTTGGCGAACTTCACATGTCTTCGAAATATATATTTATCTTATTTCTCAGACATGCAGGTTTCCTTACGATGTTTTACTTCACCGCCGAGCACGTGGTAAATCAGCACTTAAAATTGCAATTAACAATTTCATTGGTGCTGGCGGGGATCGAACCCGGGTTGCTCGTGTACTGTGAAATTTACAGCAAGCGCTAACCATCTGAGCTACCACGGCACAATGGAGCTGAAGAGGCTGCCTTTACTTGTATTAAAAGAACTACCACAACTAGACCACAACAGACAGTATTGTGGCACCGATTAATACTTGTAGAATGACTCTGTCCATGAGAAGGGATTTTGAGTTCTACTCACTTCCTTGTATTTTCTCTTATTTTTTACCATTTATAAAAAATAAATTTAAATTATTATTATTTATAAAAATAAATTTAAATTATTTGACAATATTAATTATATTATGTTAATTATCAAAATGTGCCGTAGATTCTCACTTACTCCATAACTCTTAGACGAGCACTGGGCCGTTTGTCATTTGTATCTTTTAGTTTAATACATAATATATTTTTTGCACCAGTGGTCTGATTTCTTTGACTTAATGTTCTTTTTAAAACACAAATACATTTAATTTTATTTAAATAGATGCTCCAAATTTCTGCTCTTTACAAATCTCCAAACACCTTAGAAGAAATAGTGACGGGAGTTTACATACATAAATTGCACAGGGACAAACAACCATTACAATTATTTATAGGCCATACGAATACTTCTTCCGTGCTGAGCGTCGTAACTCAATGCTAAGCTACTGCACCACAGAGCCATATATGCTGCTCTTTTTATATGTTGCTATTTTATGCGTGGACTTTACATATTTTTCTAACTTATCAAGTTGTTTCGTTTCCTTAACGAGCGAACAGGCATGTATATAACTATTGTACGTCAGTGCATCAGCAGAGTACCAGCAGCTCTTCAAGCGCCAGGAGTAGCAATAGTAATGGCGGACGCAACAATTTTGGCGGCAAGAAGCAGGTAATTTTTTGGTTACGTTTTTACCACTTTAGAGGGATAAATAAACAAGCACACAGGTGGACAAATTACTAATGGATTTCTAATGCTCGGTTTCTGATGTACTTTTATCGGCAGTTTATCTATTCGTTAGCGCTATTGGTTCGATAACTTGTGAAAGTGCGTTTCCGAACATTGCAATGTAAGATAAACTCCGTTTAAGCTAAGTTTAATTTAACTGACCAATATGTGCCGTTTATCGGTTCTATAACTTTATTTGACGTTTAATGCAAGCAAACTACATCAACTTTTAGGTTATAACCTGTTATTATTAAAATAAATTGCCAGTGGGCGCTAAATACCAAAATATTCAAGGGATAAAATAATTATTAATAGAAGTGCAATGAATACGAGTACTCTTCTCTCTTTCAGAAAAAAATTTACTACGTTTTCCCAGATTCCATAATGTTTTGGATAATGTAAAAACGATAGTAAATACCACTTGTAGTGTTTGCATATATGTAGTATACAGTAAATATTGTTATTTGTTTTATTTACTAATAATTTACCATGCACAAATACACAAACATACATTTATATATAAGTCACTGTCTCGAGCGCACCGCGTCAGTTACACGAGAGCCTCGGGCGAGAGTGGACGTGTTTAGTTAAGTGAGTGTCGAGCCTGTGTTACACTACAAGGATTAGATAAGATAGCAGACATTACACCACTAAACTTAAAATCATAAAGTTATGAAAAATAAAAGCAATGAGTTTGATGTTTTCTTTTTTAACAATTTGACAATACAATGATATCATTCATACAGTTTCTGATAAATATGGAATTATCATATTTTATTACTAAAACAGTGCATGTCCTCTTAGTTAGCCTCAAAAAAATATATTTTATAAATAATACTAGTATAAATGAAGAATTGAAATTAAAAAATCAATTTTAGACTCGATGTCTTAAGCAGACCCATCTAGCGGCAAATTATGGTACTTGTTAATGGTTTCATAGTTGTTGAACGATTCGTTGCGTATTCAGAAACGCAGTGACAGTTAACCGATGTTTATCCTATAGATAACTTTATTGAATCAATAGCTAATGGGAAGATAACTAGGAACTTCAGAAACCGGGCATAAGTAATTTTCGACTTGCTGCTTATGTACGCTCCACCGCTGGGAACAGACTTCCTATTGTTAGTGATTAACCACGAGAACTTAGAGTTACAAGTGAAGCGTCAGTAGCCTAATGGCAGGGCGCGGACCGCGAACTCGAAAGGTCGTGGGTTCGAATCCGTCATTCGACTACTGTCGTGAACCACTTCTAACACAAGCATTTTAAGCTTACCAGAAGTGGTTAAAGGGAATATTAGTAATGTTTAATAGCATTACTAGTATTTAAAAAAATACCAAGAAGATAGATCGTACCTTTATGTGCGTTGGTATCTAATGTTGTGTAGAGCTTCATTACAAATTGTGCAGCTCATATGGAAGATAAGAAACATATGAGTGATCTACCAATTCGGTAATTCGAGTCTGTCGGTTTGCTACAGCTCTGCACGAGGTTGTGCTCACACCTCATGCGGCTTGCTACTTGCTGGACTACTCAACTACAGATTACGGATACACTTACCAGCTTTGCGATACACATAAGAGCTGTAACTTAGTGTTACTTAATATAAAAATTATGCCTTTAGTTATTTATGGGTCCTTGATTGTTATAAAAAGACATTATTTTCTCGTCATTTTATTGGCCATAAAATTGACACATAAAATACTTGAGTAAGATTAAAAAAATTACTTTTGATCAGTGAACGTCGGAAAGTAAAGAGATTTCATATACTTATATATATATATACTTTACTTAATATTGAAAGATATGAATATATTTAGTTATTATATTTACTTACTTAAATCACCTGCCTCTAATTTCTCACCACGCCATGGGTTGACTGGCATTAAGTCTGCCCTTTGTAACCTTTTAGGTTAGAGAAAAAAGTTTAAAAATAAAAAAAATATTCATGATCATAAATCAGGAATAAGAGAGAAAGGACTTCTTTATAATTACTTTTTTCAGGGCGGACAAGTCCAAGGTGGCGCTCAATTCGTCGGATTGGAGCTTTACAAGAGGTTGCGAGAGTTCCTGAGAGTCTATCTTATTAACTTATTGAAGGTAAACTTTATGATTTTAAATTATGTAGTTAAAGATATCACGTATAATATAAGCCTTTTTTAATCAAGTGTGTGAAACGTCTGGTATTACGACTAAGATAAATTAAACTCCTTACAAAGAGAGAGAGAGACACATTCCCAGCTGTGGACTTTTATGGGCTGAAGATATAAATTAATATTTGTTTCATTTTCATCCCTCTGGAAGTGAGCCACACCCGTTATTGGAAATGCGTCTGAAAGTTAATAAAATTGTACAAGAAGATAATAGATGGCGTTAGCTGTTATTGATTAATAACCAGATGGATATTTTGATACATAATTTAACAGAAGTGAGCCTCTACCGTTACAGGACTATATTTATTAGCGCTACTATGCAGATGGATTATGTTTTAAGCATGAATGGGTCGGCTAGACCTGGAAAAGATAACGATCTCACAGAATACTAGCGTAAAATAGCAGTTTAATGCTGTGTTTCGTATGGTGAGAGTAGGGAACAGTAGACTCTTTTTACTGGAAACGAGGCATTCCATCTTATTCCTAAGGGGTGACAACGCATCTGTATTTTGTTTCTTATTCGAGGATAAAGGTAGATGCCTAAATGGGTCACAGCATACATTTAAATCAGGCGGAGTGAGTGCTCTTTTGCCACGCATAATTTATAAAATATATGAAATGAGACTGGAAGTGAACCCCTCCCATTACAGTTATTGTCTCGCATGTCAGATAGATTCAGTAATGTCACACGTCTCGCAATCTTCGACGCCATGATAATAATACCGTGCTTCGTATGTACGTGACGAGAACCGGAGACCCATTTTACTGGTATAAAGGTATTTCATCGTGGTCCTCAGAGGTGATAATGCATCTCCTACATTTTGATTCTTGATTGAGGATAAATAGGTGTCTGTCTATGCGATACAGCAGATAGTTTAGCAAAGATACCTAGACTTGGCACTTAGCCAACAGTATCCATATTCTTACACCACCATTACATAGTGCATCATGGATTACTACAATATATTCTCCACACTTGACATTTTCTGATCGATATCCCGATGTTGTGATTGTGTTATATCCTATTAAACACTTTTATTTAAAATTATTTTGACAGAATGGAGCTGATCTCATGGGTGAAGATGTGCTAGCATTCTACACTAAGCAGTGGGAAGAGTACCAGTTCTCCTCTCGAGTCCTCAACGGCGTGTGTTCCTATCTAAACAGGCATTGGGTGAAGCGCGAGTGCGAGGAGGGGCGAAAGGTAATAATTATTAAACACACCATTATTTATATATAGTATAGTAAGGTAAGGGAAGATAAAGTAATTTTACGTGACGATTTGAATAAAAAAATTACATTGACAAATGTTTAAAATAATGCATTACAAAGTATCATTCGTCACACTGTGCAGGTGACCGCAAAATTCATGTCACTCATCACCAGGGTTTAAGATTCGTTTTTAGTATTGGATGACAAAGATATTATAACACATAATATGTCCATTATTGGAGCTTGTTGTTTCCTAAAGACTATAACATTTTGCGAGGGTGCATCGCATGCAGTGGAGAATTTGGTACATCCTCTCTCCCCCCCCCCCCCCTCCCCCGTTCTTATTATCTAGTGTTAATTATATAAAACAGACATTGTTCCACAAAATCCTTTTTACTGAACCTTTTTACTGAAAATGATGCATACCATCTTAGTCCTCAGTAATGGCAACACAACTGCATTTTGGTTTTTAATTAAGGATAGATATAGATGTATTTATGTACTCCACTTGTATCAGGTGGACTGTGTGCTTTTTTCGCGTCCTTAGTCTATATAAAAAAAGAAAACGAAAGAAAATATTATAAATGTTTTATTTTTATTTATTCATTATCATAAAAATCTATCAAAAATCCACTGTGAACATAGGCCCTCATGGTCATGCCTCTGGACATTATTTGCAATACTGGTGATGCTTGGTAAGTAGGTTGGCAACCACAGTTTTTTATATTTTTGAGTTGTTATCAGGATGATGCTTCGGCACATCTCTTGTTTCATTTCTCCCGACCCTAACGACAGACACGGAATGATATGTTGTAGTGGATCTCTAACGCCACTTCTAATTCTCTAACTGCAATATTGTATTTAAAGTGACATAATATTTTCTAAGCAAACTTACAATTATAATTTCAGGGCATTTACGAGATCTATCAGCTGGCGTTGGTGACGTGGCGTGACAACCTGTTCAAGTGCTTAAACAAACAAGTCACCAATGCCGTACTAAAGCTCATTGAGAGGGAACGCAACGGGGAGACAATTAACACAAGGCTTGTTTCTGGAGTAAGTATCTTAATATATACTTATTAAACTTTTTGCAATCAATAAAGTTTTTAAAAGTGGTTGTCTGGAAGAAATTTTTTTACAAACCAATGTACAAACAAAAATTTTAAATTTACAAAATATTTTATTGTTCTGGTAAATTTTTGTTAATAATGAAAATCGTGATAAACTCAGAAATGAGGATATCCGCAGTAGAACCAGAGTAACCGACATAGCCCAACGGATTAGTAAGCTGAAGTGGCAGTGGGCCGGCCATATAGCTCGAAGAACCGACAACCGGTTGGGAAGAAAGGTTCTCGAGTGGTAGGCGAAGTGTAGGGCGACCCCCCTCTAGATGGAGTGACAACCTGGTAAGACATGCAGGAAGTTGATGGCTGCAGGTGTCTCAGGACCGTGCTTTGTGGCATTCCTTGGGGGATGCCTATGTTCAGCAGTGGACTTGTGAAGGGCTGTAATGATGATGATGATGGTGATCAGTGTACCGTCAGTCCTTGAACATTTTAATATACAATATAGAGAAAGTTCAGTTTAACATATTGCGGCAGTCTTTAATACGCAATTTGTCTTTGTTGCCAGGTAATCAATTGTTACGTAGCACTAGGCCTAAATGAAGAGGACCCAAGCGCACGGGGTCAGAATTTGGCAGTATACAAAGACACCTTCGAGGCTGTGTTCCTCGAGGATACAGAACGTTTTTACACTCGGGAGAGCACAGATTTCCTGAGAAATAGCCCCGTTACTGAGTATATGATCAAGGCAAGTATTAATTAGATTAAATTTTATTTTATTCTGTTGAAATTGTGTTTTGATCTCAATAATAATCACTATCAGAAGTAATATTATACATATATGTGAAATGTTGATGTTACTGTGTATTGACAGTGAAGAATAACCACTACCCCATATCATCTCGTGGGTGTCATAAGAGGCTACAAAGGGAAACAACCCAGCAGTATATTACTAATAACAACTAAAAAATAAAAATCCGCGGTTGCCAACCCGGCTGCAAAATGTGGCAACTACGGGGAACATGGGGTCAACATATGTATGAGGCAATAGGGAGCTTTAGGGCTATAGGGACTAGGGAGGTCTATAGGGGCCGGCAGTGGACTTTTGATAGGCTGTAACGGTAGCGCTATGTACTATGGCGCCAAGTGTGGCACGGCCATTAGCGTATGTACGCGAAGTTTAAACACATATTTGCTTAATGTGGGCTAATAATCTTCCGCTCACCAGATGTCGCTAGTTGACACTGAGGTGAAGTTTTTTGTTACTCAATGTCATTTATTTGAGAAGTTAGTTTTAAATAAAAGCTTATCAGTTTCTAGAGTAATAAATTAATACACTAAACAGTGCCTCAGTGGTTTGCTCTTTAGTTGTTTTTACATTTTTAACTTTTTTTTAATTTTCTTGCTTTTATAAACATCTGTGGTTGGGTTTATTTATTTATAATTTAATTAATATAGTAAAGAAAGAAACATTAACCTTTACATTTTCCGAACAAATTAACTTTCCCGATATGAAATCTGTCAAATATTACACTTCATTTTTAAATGGCGCCGCCCTAGTGGTAGAAAAAGTTGTGGATGCCCCCATTGAAGCACTGCTACTGGCGCTGGTCTTATACGAGATAGTAATACCGCTGTTTTGGAGGCTATGAAGTCTTTCTGGTTTACAATTACCGTTTAAGACCTTTTTATTTCGTAGGCGGAGCAGCGATTGCAAGAAGAGCAACGACGAGTACAAGTGTACCTTCACGAGACTACTGCGGAGCGGCTCGCGAAGACATGCGATCGAGTGCTCATCGAGAAGCACCTGGAAATATTCCATGCTGAATTCCAGGTAATTTCCTGGTGCTTTGTAGACATTACGGTCAATACTGAAGTGTGGTTAACAATGCTATCTTGTCGCTCAAGGTGTATATCTGTACGAGATGATTAATAGAACAGCTATTACAGAAGTTTATTTGCTAAGATCGACGAATAAATCTATACATATAAATAAAATCGTAGTGTCTATCAGCTTAGGGACTTATTTTTATGCTATTAAGACACGAGTTATTTTATTTTTAACATCTTTATCTGTCTGTATTTCATCCGGGCTAATCTTTAGTATCTGAAGCGTCGTTTTGGAGAAGTTTTGCAACTTATGACAAAAATACAATTTTGTTCAAATTAAAACGATATCGAATCTTTGTCTCTCATTCCATATTTTTTCTTTACGTATTAAATTAATAGTTATTGTGATATTTTCACATAAATATGTAAGAATTTAGGCATTTCATCTGCTGCGCAGTACGCAGGAATTACATGCTTTAATTTCTACCTCTCTTCTTTTCATCATCGGACAACAAGGCGGTCCGCGGTTCTTCACTCTTTGCTGTCGATATTCCACGCATTATACTAAACGGTTTGCTTCATCTTTCGTAATATGTACCGCAGAACAGTGGAATAATATGCCGACGTTTACGTTGTCTTACCGTCCGAATATAATCTGGGCGTTTTCAAGACAGTAGTGAATAGACTTTTGTTACGTTAAGAGATGTGTGATTGATCACCTAGGGCGACATCATCACTTACTACTAGGCATGAGACCGATATATCAAAACGTAACTAATAACGTTATGTTATCAAATATCATATCATATCGATAAACCTAAGTACATAACCGTTATCACATATCCAACCAAAACGCAAAACCAACTAACCAACCTACGAAACGTAAAATGCAAACTGTAAAACGATATGCCAACACGGCCCAAAACTAACCGATGTCCTTTGATATTCGTTGTTTCTCGCTCTAGTGACGGTATCATAAATACGTATAAAAGAGATGAAGCGAATATGTATTTCGTTGCGATGTTTTGGTAGTTATCATAAAACGGTGCACGTGAAATATAATTATAAGACTCTTAACAATAAGGTCGAATTTTAAATGGCTAAAATTGCCTAATTTTTAAGTTTGTGTAGTTGTGAGAGTTGTCAGATTTAAATGATCTTTAGGACATAAGATACAAGACTTAGATTTCTTTGATCACATCATATTTGGTTTAGGCAACTTTTGTTTATGTTTTAGATGGAAAGTCCAGAACTTGATTTTTTTTTTTCAAAACGTAACAATTACGCACTTGACTTTGGTGGCGAGTGCCATTCACTATGAAACTATCTGTAAAATTATTAATTTTTGACGTAACTTTTGTGCATTTATTTGTAATATTTGTTTGCATTTTGTACAATTGTTTTAATACTTTTCTGTTAGTCCTAAGCCTAGTTAAGTATATGAAGGTAAATCGCCAACTTAAATAATCATTAACAAATGAACTACCTAAACTAATTTTATATATATATATATATATATATATATATATATATATATATATATATATATATAAAATTAGTTATGAATACAGTTTAATTATAGACTTTGAAATCAATACTCTGATCCTACGTCTCACTTTAAAAAATATGGGTATAAAAATTATAGAAATAAATAAGGATAGAAAGAATGTAATTTTAGACATTTATAATACTATATTACTGCAAAACAATCATAAATTATATATTAACATACACGTCTAAATATTACATCTAAGATTATATTAGAGCCTCTGATTTATAAACTAAAATAATCAAAGTAATTCGTAAAATAAATGTTGCACTGGTTCTACAGTTTTCGGCATAGATATTATACTACATGGGGCATAGATCAGCCACTGACAAGTTATTAGGAGACGAAACGAGGGAAGTTTTTTCTGCGCTTTTATAGATGGGGTTGAGATTATAAATGACTGAAAATTACACTAGAGGGCGCTATCACCTATATGTATTTCAAAACTGCTAGCATGATTTAGGCTTCGATATAAATAATAGATACTAGCAGTGGCGCCATCTTTTAATAGTTTGTAAAAAATATCGGGGAAAATAGTACTTTTACTGTGAGATGGCGCTAGTAACAACGTAAAAGCAAGCTAATGGGGACTTTCATACCCCTGGTTTTAGGTTATGTTTCGGTTGTCGTTTGCGCATTCAGTAGCAAACCATTACTACTGATATCGATATTTGAAAACGGTTTTCAATAACGATATGAAAACTAAATATCGGTTATGGTAACCGTTGCAGCTAAAAACTGAAAACGGCCATGCTTACTTTACGGATGTGACATTGAGTGAAAAAAATCGATTATTAAAAAATAGATTTTTTGCTTTGTGATAATAATCGATTTAGGAAAAATCGATTTTTATTAAAAAAAAATATCGATTTTTGCGAAAAAATTATTTTATTCGAAAAAATGCCTGCTTTCCTATATATTAATAAAACTACGAGAGTATAGTATCAACAACTTATCAGAATAAAAATCAAATAAAATGATAAGTATAAAACTCACGTCGTAGAGCCATGCTGCAGCTACATTATGGTTGTAGCACGAATGGGTCGGCTCGACCGGGGAAGGACCACGCTCACACAGAATACCAGCGTAAAATAGCAGCTTAACGCTGCTGTGTTTCGTATGGTGAGTAGTAGTAGTAGAGAACCGGAGACCCTTTTTACTGGAAACGAGGCACTCCATCTTAGTCCTCACGGGTGACAACGCATCTGCATTTTGATTCGTAATTGAAGATAGATGTAGATGTCTATGGGCCGCAGCAACCACTTACCATCAGGTGGACTGTATGCTCGTTTGTCACCCTTATCCTATATAAAAAAAAAACATAATCAGAAGGACAATCTTCTGGTTTTAAAACTAAACTACAGAACATTTTTTTAACCTATAACTTTAAACAATAAAAAACTAAAAATAATTACTGCCACAAATGTTCATTGTCATTTAACAATTTATTAGAACCAAAATAAAAAGAAACGATAAATGAAACTAATTTTTACGCATTTTATCGCGTTTAATTTAACTTTTTAATTCTCGACGTTTCGGGTGCTTTACAGCACGCATGGTCACAGGGGGGGACTGAGGTGTTTCACGTCCCTATGTCACAGTTGAACCACAAATCCTCGCAAAAGAACTCCGATTCCTACCAAGGATGATTCGCGAGGCAAAAAACATCCTAATTTCAATAGAGAAGATGCATGGGTGCTGGCGTCTGCTTGGCATCCTCTAATTAATAAAATGAAATCCAAACCCAAGCATACCACTGTAAGACTTCAAGATACTGTAAGCTCATTCTGCGTAGATCGAACCAAAAATTAATATTCAAAAACTGAAGGTAGCTAGGCTAACTATGACATCGGGACGTCAAACACCTCAGCCCCCCCCCCCCCCCACCTCCTGTGACCATGGGTGCTGTGAAGCACCCAAAATGTCGGGAATTAAAAAGTTAAATTAATCGCGATAAAATCCGTAAAAATTAGTTTCATTTAATGAAAAGATAGAAAGAAAGAAAAAAAAAACATTTATTTACGGTCCAATCACAATAGATACAAAACAAAGCAAAAAAAATGGAATTAAACAGAAAGTAAAACAATATTTCCCTAAATTAACAAAAATGTAAAAATAATATAAAATGAGTCTGTGTAGCAGCATAAGACCGTGAAATGGACAGGACTTAGTAAAAATCCAGATACAGAAACACGAATTGCTCTGATCGCGACACTGGTTTTCAGTCCGGCCCGCACTCCGAGGTAACTCGGACGGCTGCCTCAGTGCACATGCTATAATGCGACGCGGAATATATAAAAAAATATGTGTTTTTAAATTTTTATTCACATGAATAGTGGATATCATTAGTCTAATGAAGGTAAGTACACAATAGAATTAACGTTTTCCTTCTAAATATATCAATTTCATTTATTAAGAATGCGGAATAAACGTTGGCTAAAGAATAAAGGTAAGAAAATGATTGTCAGAAAAAATAAATTTATTATACAAATATTTAAATAAAATAGTTTTATATATTATATAAAGTGAAAATTAAAATATCTACATAATTTATGGGACTGAGATTACTGACGTGTTGAAAGAACTTAACCTCCTACCAGTTTTTTTTTATAGATCGGTATTTTTTTTGTTCCGAAAGTAAGTGTAACCTGTATTTGACTTTAAACCCACTAATTGTTTTCAGGTCACGCAGTGGAGGCGGGAGGTTATTCCAACATTTAGTGGCATTATATTTAAAACTACCTCTGAAAGCGTAATGTGTAGTCTTCGCGTAAATATAAGAAATCATTAAGAAACGATAAGTTTAGTAAACGATAGATTTTTAAACTAAGTTTGAACAAACAAAGTCTAAATATCATTATGCCACAAATGTTCAGTACCATTTACATTGGATTAGAATGAAAATAAAATAAAACTATAAGTTTAAATAGTCAAACGACAACATTTTGGTCTCAAAACTATAATAAATCTTTTTTTAAACTTTAATTTTAAACAAAAAAAACTATAAATAATTATTGCCATTAATGTTCAGTATCATTTACATTGAAGTAGAATGAAAATAAAATATAAATATAATTATAAATAATCAAACGACAACCTTTTGGTCTCAAAACTTAAATACAAGACAAACCTTTTTTTAAACTAGTGTAAATAAAAAAGTGAAAATAATTATTGCCATGAATTTTTAGTTAAAGAGTTTAAAAACAATCATTTCACCAAAATTCTTCTTCGTCTCTTTCCCAAAATACGGTTTCGTTTTTTCCTGACTATATTTCTCGCTTTCAAAAATAATCTTTCAGCTGGCGCGGAATTGGCCATCACAGAGAGGTGTTTAAGAGCCAATTCGGTTAGTTTAGGGAAAGTTCCTTCAGAGCTTCTCCATATATTGAGGGCATCTGCCTTAAGATTTGATAGTGGTGCCGCAATATATAGATCCAATTCAGTATTTTTGCCTATTGAGGTGTTGGCCGCTATCATTTTTTCATTATAAAATACTTCCGTCAGTCACTTTTAGACGTTTTACAAGACATTTTTATTGTTTATATATAATTGTTTACACTAACCAAAGAAAGAAAAACACAGATTACTTTAACTCCTAGCGGAGGAAGAAAACTGTTGAAAACATACGAAAGGCGAAACTGTTTTACATACATAGAGATACATAAAGATGGCGAAGTCTTTTGATAGACTTGTTCATGTTAGTGAACTTACTTCGCGTTTTTTCATCTGTCGCACAGATGACTCTGATTACGAAAATCGATTAAAACGCGTAACTTACATAATCGATTTATTAAAAATCGATTTTTATTATAAAAAAATCTACTTTTAAAAATCGATTATAAGAAAAAAATAATCGATTAATATAAAAATCGATTATTTTTTCACATCCCTAGCTTACTTACTACTTGCGATTGTGGTCAAGCACTCGCTTGTAATAAGAAAAGAAAAAACATATTTAGTAGTTTCTAGTTTTTTTCCTCGCACAACTTCCTTGTGGAATCGACTACCATGAGCGATTTTTTCGCTCCGATACCTTTTAGGGACCTTCAAGAAAAGAGCCTACTCTTTTTTTTAAAGGCCGCTAATCCCACCGTAATTCCACTGGTGTTGCAGCTGTTCATGCGCGGCAGTATACACTTACCATCAGGCGAGTCGCATGGTCGTTTGCCCCCTGTTCTATAAAATAAAATAAAAACTCATATCAGAGTGTCAGAATAATTTAAAAACATATCAGCAAGCGAAGACATGACAAGTATTTCATGACCATACCCTAGTGTTCTCCCTAGGATCAACACAGCTTACTTTATATGTACTTTCATGAACTGTGATGGTCCGGTCAGTTTCGCCTTAAGGCGATTGGGGTGTTTAAGTACCAAGCACATATTTTTTTTATAGAATAAATGTGACAAACGAGTCCACCTGATGGTAAGTGGATGCTGTGGCCCACAGATGGCATCGATATTAATCCTCCATTAAGAATCAAAATGCGGATGCGGGGTCTCCAATAAAAAGGGTCTCTGATTCTCTACATTCATCATACTAAAGACAGCAGCATTAAGCTGTCATTTTACGCGGGTATTCAGTGAGAGCGAGACCTAACCCCGGTCGAGCCGACCCATAATATAGCTGCAGCATGGGTCTATATTATGGTTGTTCCACGCATATATGTATATGATAAAGTGTGGTTGGTATTCCGTCAGAAACTGCTGGACGCGGAGAAGAACGCGGACCTGGGGCGCATGTACAGCCTGGTGGCGCGCATCCCGGACGGGCTGTGCGAGCTGCGGCGCCTGCTGGAGCAGCACATCCACGTGCAGGGCCTGCAGGCCATCGACAAGTGCGGCGAGAGCGCCCACACGGTACGCGCCGCGCACCACACACGCACCGCCACACCGCCACACCATCACCACTCACTATCACCACCCACTCGTCATTACTACACTACTAATAATGTAATATAATGTTGACTGCTTTGGTCTAGTGCTCGTGATGATCTTAAGATTAGGTCAAAATCAGTTGTAACAAGAAATTCTGGGTCAGTACGGTCTGGATTATTACTAATAATTCCCCCAAACCAAATTTCGGTCTCGGCGGCCAGTCACGGCATAGTGCTAGAGTGTATAGGTACTTCGGAAAGCAAACGCCAACTTCCTTCCTGACTCTAGACTGCTGCTGAAAAAATCTTGACCAAAACTCGATAACTGATTTTTGTTCATCCGACCCTGGATTCAAACCTGAGATCTGAAGAATGATCAGCAATCACAATTACGACCATTGGACATACAAAGTAATCAACCGCACTACTAACAACACTTCCAGTTCCATGCTGGATATAGGGCTCTTCCGCCGTAGAAGGAATACGCCCTAAGCGTCACGCTTGGCAGGTGGATTGGTGATTGTAGTACCAGACGTCTTGCACCTTTGACAGCTTGTCAGGCATCTATCACTAATAAAAAACTACTACGCATTCATAAAAGCTTTTAGAAAAATTGACTTCGCAAATATCCGCGTTATAAAATAAAATGATGTGTCTTACCTAGTATGAAGAGCACCTCTAACTAAGCTTAGCGGTTAGCCACCGTAGAGTCTATATCACCTGAGGATGCCTCGTGTAGAGGCGAAACACGTGTCGTATTATCGTCAGTGGTGTGTCTTGCCTAGTGTAGTGGTGTTGGGAGTAGCGGTGCTGGGATTAGTGGTGACGGGGATAGTGCACGCAATTGAGGGAGGGCGGGAGGTGCTCTTCATACTAGGTAAGACACATCATTTTATTTTATAACGCAGATATTTGCGAAGTAAATTTTTCTAATAGCTTTTATATAATGGATTTCCGCAAAGTAACGCCTGATTCTATTAATTATACTACGCATTCATTTCGAGATTGCCGTCGTCGACCGTTATGACGTCGCAGCTGACGGCACCGTACACAAAACTATTCATCATTATCATTACAGCCCTTCACAAATCCACTGCTGAACATAGGCCTCCCGCAAGGAATGCCACAAAGCACGGTCCTAAGCTACCTGCATCCATCGACTTCCTGCATATCTTACCAGGTCATCACTCCATCTAGTGGGAGGACGCCCTACACTTCGTCCGCCGGTACGAGGCCGCCACTCGAGAACCTTTTTTCCCCCCATCGGTTGTCGGTTCTTCGAGCTATATGGCCGGCCCATTGCCACTTCAGCTTACTAATCCGTTGGGCTATGTCGGTCACTCTGGTTCTACTGCGGATATCCTTATTTCTAAGTTTATCACGCAGAGAAACTCCGAGCATAGCCCTCTCCATAGCTCGCTGAGCGACCTTAAGCTTCCTCATCCGGCCAGCAGTAAAGGACCACGTCTCAGTTACATAGGTCATCACTGGCAACACGCACTGGTTGTACAGTCTCGTTTTCAAGTTTTGAGGTATACCTGACGAGAAAAACTATTACTGTGTTCTAATTGTAAGAAGTTAGATTTTTAGTTTGTTGCTCTGTACAAAGAAATGGAGGGCAAGCAAGTAGATAAAATACACATAGAATAATTTATTTAGTTAATCATCATTCATCATCATCATTACAGCCCTTCACAAGTCCACTGTTGAACATAGGCCTCCCCCAAAGAATACCACAAAGCACGGTCTTGAGCCACCTGCATCCATCGACTTCCTGCATGTCTTACCAGGTCGTCACTCCATCTCGTGGGGGGACGCCCTACACTTCGCCTACCGGTACGAGGCTGCCACTCAAGAACCTTTCTTCCCCATCGGTTGTCGGTTCTTCAAGCTATATGGCCGGCCCACTGCCACTTCAGCTTACTAATCCGTTGGGCTATGTCAGTTACTCTGGTTCTACTGCGGATATCCTCATTCCTAAGTTTATCACGCAGAGAAACTCCGAGCATAGCCCTCTCCATAGCTCGCTGAGCGACCTTGAGCTTCCTCATACGGCCAGCAGGACCACGTCTCAGTTCCGTAAGTCATCACTGGCAACACGCACTGGTTGTATAATTTCGTTTTAAGGTTTTGAGGTATGTCTGACGAGAAGATGTGTCGTAGCTTCCCGAACGCTGCCCAGCCGAGTTGAATCCGTCGATTGACCTCTCGGTCGAAGTTGGACTTACCTAGTCGGACTATTTGTCCCAGGTAAACATACTCGTCAACAACTTCGAGCTTAGTGCTCCTAACAACTACCGGCATAGGTGTGACATGGACATTAAACATGATCTTTGTTTTGTCCATGTTCATCTTAAGACCTATCCGTTGGGAAACACTATTGAGGTCATTGAGCATGGTGCTTAGGTCCTCCAGCGATTCTGCCACAAGGACTATATCGTCGGCAAATCGAAGGTGAGTGATGTACTCGCCATTGATGTTGATACCGTATCCTTTCCAGTCCAGAAGCTTGAAAACGTCTTCCAATGCAGCGGTGAAGAGTTTCGGGGATATGACGTCAACCTGTCTTACACCTCCCTGCAATTGGATAGGTTTCGTACTCTGGTTCTGTACTCGGATAGCCATCGTAGCCCTACTGTACAAGCACTTCAACACTTCGATATACCGACAGTCAACTTGGCACCTTAGTTAATAAAGTAAAATAATAACATTGAAAATATACGTTTCCGATAAAATAAAATATAGTTTTATTACATTTTAAAATAATTATTTACGAAGGCGCGACTAACTAGTAGGTAGATATTTACGCATTCATAACTTCTATACCAGTTATTTTATGGAAATCGTTCGTTTCTGTATCACTGTCATCACTCCATTCTGTGTTTATCTCAAATTAACGAAAGTAAAATGTCAACAGAAAACAACAACAATCAATAGTAATAAAAATCAATAGTAACAAAAACAGATGGGAGTACAAACAACGGACGTGGATGCATTTCAGCGTTGCTACCGATAGCAACGCTGAAATGCATCCACGTCCGTTGTTTGTACTCCCATCCACGCGCCTCACCCTTATAGTATCGGTACTATACTATAAGGGTGAGGCGCGGTACGAGGGAGCGCGGCGGGAGGGGTAACGGCAACACGTAGTTCAACTAGAATTACGTCAAAACAATTGGCGACAGTATTTAGAGAACTTTTGCATGGGATTGTGTATCTAGTTTTGTATTAGTGATCGATGCTGTCAGGGATGGCGTTAACTGGTTATACCGCCAACAATTGAATTGGAAGCGGTATCATCTCTGGCTTTCACCTCATAGTCGCCTCACGACACCGACGGGACGATATGGGGTGATAGATGGGCTTACGCTGTAATCATACGGCAAGATCAATACTACCACTTTGTCATAACTACCATCTCCCTATCATCGTCACCAATAAGAGACCACTGTCTTCACCCACAACACTTTCACTCAACACTTCTGTTTCCATCACTATTAAGTATTAACAAGCGATTTAATTTTTCATAGTAAAGTTAAAGTACAATAAAATAATTAATGTACTATTATTAAGTATAGTTATTTAAAATATTAGTTAAATAAGTTATATAAGTACAACGATAATTTAAATGACCATTTAATTTAAATAATTAATAACGTACTTATATTCAGACATTTTTTAGTCTATACTCTATACAAATAAATAAGTTTGTGTGTAATGTGAAAATAACAGCTTTTAACTAAATTCATATGAAAGTATATATGGTACTTATAACAAAAACACAATTTTTAAAAATAAAATTCTGTCTTTCTATTTGTTCCGGCTAATCTCTGAAAGGGCTGGACCGATTTTGACAGGACTTTCACTAGCAGATAACTGATGTTATATGGAGTAACTTAGGCTACTTTTATTTTAGAAAAAGAATTACGGTTCCGCGCAAAATAATTAAAACCCATGAAATCCTATCGTAGTAAATTACACGCGGGTGAAGTCGCTGGGAACAGCTAGTGTCTGAATAAAAGGCTGTTATTAGGGTTACATAAATGTTATTCTATATTATGGCCCAGTAGTTGTGACACACCGCTAACCTTCTTTATTTGGTGTACGCTACAGATGCGCATGGGCTTTAGCTATCAGATAGACTGAACTTGCATTGAAATGGCATGTATAATAAGTGCTGCCCTTGTCTGCGCCGTAAGTTATTACTCTAAAGTGTTGTGAGATAAAGCGCCTATCGTGCTATATAGCCTCGTAACACTAGTTCAAGAGTCTTTCAGCCTTCCCTCGTCTAATTATAGTCAGAGGGACAATTCGTCAGAGTCTCTAATGGAAGAAAATATTACTTTGAATACACGCTATAGTAATTAAAACCAAATACTTTTGAATTACACCGTTATCAACCTTATTATATCCACTGTTGGATATATATATATATAGGTCTTTCAGAAAAGTCTCACCACGATAGGCAGGAGGTGTATTGAATTTATTAAGTTTTTTTTAATACAATTAGGGTAACAAACGAGCACACAGTCCACCTGATGGTAAGTTTTTGCTGTGGCCCATAGACATCTGCATCTATCTTCGTTTGCGAATCAAAATGCAGATGCGTTGTCAGCCGTGAGGACTAAGATAGAATGCCTCTTTTCCAGTAAAAAGGGTCTCTGGTTCTCTACACTCACCATACGAAACACAGCAGCATTAAGCTGCTATTATATGCTGGTATTATGTGAGAGCGTGGTCCTTCCCCGGTCGAACCGACCCATTCGTGCTACATCGTCCAAAACTTCCACTTAGGTGAAATCACATTGTTTGGCTATTTCCAGAAAAACTCATTCAAAGGGATTATATGAACTTGGAGGGTTGTATTGGTGATTTTAATGATAATAATTTTGTAAACATTCAACCTGGCCCTGACATGCAAATTCCAAAAAACGTAAGAAAATTTGAATTTCGCGGGCCACCCTGGAGCTTTCACCTTAAGTAAATATTTCGAGATTTGATGATTTAAACACATTTCTACATGCAGGATCCGAAAGTATACGTGTCGACGATCCTTGAAGTGCACAAGAAGTATAACGCGTTGGTGCTGGTTGCATTTAACAACGACTCTGGCTTCGTGGCAGCTCTCGACAAAGCCTGCGGCAGGTTTATCAACAGTGAGTATGATAGATTTACCGAGGAATTATTTGTATTAATAATAGTCACCGGGTTTTATGATATTACAATGTTATATATTTATTGTATGTAAAAAAATAGTTGTTTTAGATCTATCTCTAAGGCCTACTAACAAACAACTTTATTAGAAGAACAATGGCACTATAAAAATAAAAAATAGATGTTTTGTGAAGTGAGGATTACATACATATGGTCAAACTTTGGAATGCCAACTGGTTATAACCGTAAAATTCGTATATAAATGGACGATCTTCGCGCGACGTGACTGACTGTTTTAATATATAATACTGCTCTCTAATATATAATATATCTCTCTGTGCTACAGGCAATGCTGTGACAAAGGCAGCAAATTCATCTTCGAAGAGTCCAGAACTGCTTGCAAAATATTGTGATTTGTTGCTGAAGAAGTCTAGCAAGAATCCGGAAGACGCCGAATTAGAAGACACTCTTAACCAAGTGGTATGTTAAGATTTTTCTGTCTTCTTAGTTTAGCGATCGTAAGTGCGACTCATTGTGATGTGGTCCCTGGTTCGAATCAGGGGTCGGGCCAAAATCAGTTATTTGGTTTTTGAGTCAATAAATTGTCGGTAACAGCCCGGAATTTGGCGGTTTTTCACCACCAAAAAGCATATAAAGTTATTAGTGCTACGCCTGATCTCTATCCAGTTATGTCGGATTGGCATCCCATCGGACTATGAGAGTGACGGAATAGAGCAGCGTTTGCGAACTTTTTTGAGAAGTGGGTCAAGTTTTTTCTCAATATTTTTTTCTTTGTAATGGCTCGTGAGTCACTAAGTCAGTGGCGTCTCTTACAAAAGGGGAGAGGAGGATGGGTTGAAAACTACTTTTGTTGTCATCATTTAAAATCCTCTTGAAATTTGACGGTTTCTTTTCATTTTACAACTTATACTTTTGCTAGTGAAGAGCAAACACTAAAGGTAAAGTCGAAAATTTGTCGAAAAATGCGTAGTTGCCAGTGGACCCTGCAGTGAGTATTTTGTTGTTTTCAAGACTATTTTAATGAAACAGGAATAAAAAAACCACATAATTTATATTACATGTGTGCATTTATAATAAAGTTGAAGTAAAAGAAAATCTGCTAACTAATGTTCATTTGAAAATAATTTTTATATATTCGACATTTGTTAAACATTTTTATTTTTAAATAAAACTAATTTTACGGATTTTATCGCGTATATTAACTTATTTTTATATTCCCGACGTTTCGGGTGCTTTCCAGCACCCGTGGTCACGGGGGACTGAGTTGTTTGACGTCCTACTGTCATAGTTAGCCCGGCTACCTTCAGTTTTTTAATATTAATTTTTGGTTCGATTTACGCAGAATGAGCTTACAGTATCTTGAAGTCTAGCAGTGGTATACTTGGGTTTGGATTTGATCTTATTAATTATGGGATCCCAAGCAGACGGCAGCACCCATCCATCCTCTCTATTGAAATTAGGATGCTTTTTAATTTCAATAGCCTCGCGAATCATCCTTGGGAGGAATCGGTGTTCTTTTGCAAGGATTTTTGGTCTATCAAATCTAATGTAATGACGGGGACGATCCTGAACATGTTCACAAACTGCAGACTTCCCGATACGTCGGTGCTTCACGTCAGCTATATGTTCTTTAACGCGGGTTTTAATAGATCTTTTTGTTTGTCCTATGTACGAGAGACCACATTCACAATCCAGCTTGTACACTCCTGCATCTTGTAGAGGGATATGACACTTGACGGATGGCAAAAATTGACCAATCTTCTTCAGCGGCTTGAAGTATGTTTTAATGGAAGCTCGCTTCAAGATGTAGCCAACCTTGTCTGTGACTCCTCTGACATAGGGTAGTACAGCAGGCACACGCTCGACTGTGGCTGGCTTCACTCGGTCACTGTGACGTAGGCGCGGGACCCGAAGCTTGTTGTCTTGCAGTACTTGCTCGACGTGCTGAAGCTCGGCGGCCAGATGTTTTCTGTCACAGATCCCTCGTGCTCTCTGAAACAAAGATTTTCCCACGGTAGCTAACTGTGAAGGATGATGGTGAGATTCACCATTTAAATATCGGTTGGTATGGGTATTTTTTCTGTACACAGTATGACCAATAGTGTTATCAGGATTTCTGATGACTAAAACATCTAGAAAAGCTAAAGTATTGTTTGCCTCTAACTCCATTGTGAATTGTATTTTAGGGTTTATGGAATTAAGGTGGTTTAAAAATGCAGTTACTTTGTCAGATGGTAAAATTGTGAAAGTATCGTCTACGTACCGCTTGTAGAATCTTGGATTTACAGGAGCAGTAAGAAGGGCTTTCTCCTCAAAGTCCTCCATGAATATGTCGGCGACTACGGGAGATACAGGTGAGCCCATTGCCACTCCGTCTACTTGCATGTAGAACTCTTCTTTCCACAATAAATAGCCAGATGTGAGGCAGTGTTTGAGTAATACTGCATATTCTGTAGGCATGTTGTTATCTTCTAGCTTTCTAGTAACAATTGAGATGCAGTCTTCAATAGGTAGGCATGTGAATAGTGACTGAACATCAAAACTGACCATAGTTTCATTGTCAGCGAGATGTAGGTCTTTAATCTCACTAACAAATTGGTATGAATCCTTTGTGTGTGCTCTGGTATGTCCTCTTAGTGGTGACAGTATTTTTGCCAAGTGTTGAGCCAACTTATAAGTTGGTGAATCGATCTGGCTTACTATAGGACGTAGTGGAGCGTTTGGTTTGTGTATTTTCGGTAACCCATACAACCTCGGTGGTTTGGCACATGATGGTATTGTCGAATTCACGTCAAGATCTAATTTTTCGGAGTATTTCTTTATTAAATCAGTGGTTGTTTTGAGTGTATTAGTTGTAGGGTCTATTTTGACCTTTTTGTATGTACTTACGTCCGATAAAAGTTGTTGTATTTTGAAATTATACTCTGACGTGTCCATTATTACCGTAGCATTTCCTTTATCCGCGCGGAGAATCGTGAGCTCGGGTCTGTTGCGTAAGTTGTACAACGCTTTAAATTCGTCTTTCGGAAGATTTAGTCTCGGCGCTGAACTTCGACGTAACAAGGACGAAATGTCTTGACGTATAGCCTCTAAATCCTCTTTACCGATATTATTCTTAAACAGACAATCCTCAACACTACAGATAATTTCCTCGTACGGGATTTTTTGCGGCGTTATAGCAAAATTTAAGCCTTTCGACAATACTTTAATTGTAGGTTCGTCCAGTATTTCTTTTGACAAATTATAGACCGTGCGTTGTTTATTGTTTGCGTCTGTGGTCAACGGTTGTTGCGTTTCGTTTCTACGTTGACATGGATGTTTGGCATTTGATTTGATAGTTAATTTTTGGTATTTTTCTATTTGTTTGTCTTTGCATTCATTATATTTCGATGTTTCGCGTTTGTTTAAAGTTTCAATGCAATTATTAAAATCAAATGTCGTTAAAACTGTCTTTAACTCACTGGACAAATTGTCTATGGTATTATTTATGATTTGTAAATCGAACCGTTTTTGCTGAATCACCGTTCGTAACAACTTTTTACTTGCCTGATTTAAGATCTTAGCGCTTCCTCGAATGTCCTTTTTAGTAGATATTTTGACGCACGTAGGAATGAGCTGGTGGTCGCGGCACCTTTTCAGAAAATTCAATGATGTTACATATCTTGCGCGCTTGGTCATGAGATCTTCTAATCGGCGAATTTTATTTGCAATTACCAGTCCGTACTGGTTTACATAATGATTTCTTATATTTACGCGAACACTACACATTTTTAAATAAAACTAATTTTACGGATTTTATCGCGTATATTAACTTATTTTTATATTCGATTAGATGCGATAAAATCCGTAAAATTAGTTTTATTTAAAAATGTGTAGTGTTCGCGTAAATATAAGAAATCATTATGTAAACCAGTACGGACTGGTAATTGCAAATAAAATTCGCCGATTAGAAGATCTCATGACCAAGCGCGCAAGATATGTAACATCATTGAATTTTCTGAAAAGGTGCCGCGACCACCAGCTCATTCCTACGTGCGTCAAAATATCTACTAAAAAGGACATTCGAGGAAGCGCTAAGATCTTAAATCAGGCAAGTAAAAAGTTGTTACGAACGGTGATTCAGCAAAAACGGTTCGATTTACAAATCATAAATAATACCATAGACAATTTGTCCAGTGAGTTAAAGACAGTTTTAACGACATTTGATTTTAATAATTGCATTGAAACTTTAAACAAACGCGAAACATCGAAATATAATGAATGCAAAGACAAACAAATAGAAAAATACCAAAAATTAACTATCAAATCAAATGCCAAACATCCATGTCAACGTAGAAACGAAACGCAACAACCGTTGACCACAGACGCAAACAATAAACAACGCACGGTCTATAATTTGTCAAAAGAAATACTGGACGAACCTACAATTAAAGTATTGTCGAAAGGCTTAAATTTTGCTATAACGCCGCAAAAAATCCCGTACGAGGAAATTATCTGTAGTGTTGAGGATTGTCTGTTTAAGAATAATATCGGTAAAGAGGATTTAGAGGCTATACGTCAAGACATTTCGTCCTTGTTACGTCGAAGTTCAGCGCCGAGACTAAATCTTCCGAAAGACGAATTTAAAGCGTTGTACAACTTACGCAACAGACCCGAGTTCACGATTCTCCGCGCGGATAAAGGAAATGCTACGGTAATAATGGACACGTCAGAGTATAATTTCAAAATACAACAACTTTTATCGGACGTAAGTACATACAAAAAGGTCAAAATAGACCCTACAACTAATACACTCAAAACAACCACTGATTTAATAAAGAAATACTCCGAAAAATTAGATCTTGACGTGAATTCGACAATACCATCATGTGCCAAACCACCGAGGTTGTATGGGTTACCGAAAATACACAAACCAAACGCTCCACTACGTCCTATAGTAAGCCAGATCGATTCACCAACTTATAAGTTGGCTCAACACTTGGCAAAAATACTGTCACCACTAAGAGGACATACCAGAGCACACACAAAGGATTCATACCAATTTGTTAGTGAGATTAAAGACCTACATCTCGCTGACAATGAAACTATGGTCAGTTTTGATGTTCAGTCACTATTCACATGCCTACCTATTGAAGACTGCATCTCAATTGTTACTAGAAAGCTAGAAGATAACAACATGCCTACAGAATATGCAGTATTACTCAAACACTGCCTCACATCTGGCTATTTATTGTGGAAAGAAGAGTTCTACATGCAAGTAGACGGAGTGGCAATGGGCTCACCTGTATCTCCCGTAGTCGCCGACATATTCATGGAGGACTTTGAGGAGAAAGCCCTTCTTACTGCTCCTGTAAATCCAAGATTCTACAAGCGGTACGTAGACGATACTTTCACAATTTTACCATCTGACAAAGTAACTGCATTTTTAAACCACCTTAATTCCATAAACCCTAAAATACAATTCACAATGGAGTTAGAGGCAAACAATACTTTAGCTTTTCTAGATGTTTTAGTCATCAGAAATCCTGATAACACTATTGGTCATACTGTGTACAGAAAAAAATACCCATACCAACCGATATTTAAATGGTGAATCTCACCATCATCCTTCACAGTTAGCTACCGTGGGAAAATCTTTGTTTCAGAGAGCACGAGGGATCTGTGACAGAAAACATCTGGCCGCCGAGCTTCAGCACGTCGAGCAAGTACTGCAAGACAACAAGCTTCGGGTCCCGCGCCTACGTCACAGTGACCGAGTGAAGCCAGCCACAGTCGAGCGTGTGCCTGCTGTACTACCCTATGTCAGAGGAGTCACAGACAAGGTTGGCTACATCTTGAAGCGAGCTTCCATTAAAACATACTTCAAGCCGCTGAAGAAGATTGGTCAATTTTTGCCATCCGTCAAGTGTCATATCCCTCTACAAGATGCAGGAGTGTACAAGCTGGATTGTGAATGTGGTCTCTCGTACATAGGACAAACAAAAAGATCTATTAAAACCCGCGTTAAAGAACATATAGCTGACGTGAAGCACCGACGTATCGGGAAGTCTGCAGTTTGTGAACATGTTCAGGATCGTCCCCGTCATTACATTAGATTTGATAGACCAAAAATCCTTGCAAAAGAACACCGATTCCTCCCAAGGATGATTCGCGAGGCTATTGAAATTAAAAAGCATCCTAATTTCAATAGAGAGGATGGATGGGTGCTGCCGTCTGCTTGGGATCCCATAATTAATAAGATCAAATCCAAACCCAAGTATACCACTGCTAGACTTCAAGATACTGTAAGCTCATTCTGCGTAAATCGAACCAAAAATTAATATTAAAAAACTGAAGGTAGCCGGGCTAACTATGACAGTAGGACGTCAAACAACTCAGTCCCCCGTGACCACGGGTGCTGGAAAGCACCCGAAACGTCGGGAATATAAAAATAAGTTAATATACGCGATAAAATCCGTAAAATTAGTTTTATTTAAAAATGTGTAGTGTTCGCGTAAATATAAGAAATCATTAACATTTTTATTATAGCATAGGGTGACAAACGAGCACACAGTTCACCTGATGGTAAGTTGTTGCTGTGACCCATAGACATCTACACCTATCCTCAATAAAGAATCAAAATACAGAGGCGTTGTCACCCGTGAGGAATGCTTCTTTTCCAGTAAAAAGGGTCTCTGGTTCTGTACACTCGCCATACGAAACACAGCAGGGTTAATCTGCTATTTTACGCTGGTATTCTGTGAGAGCGTGGTCCTTCCCCGGTCGAGAAGACTCATTCCTGCTACAACTATACTACTAATATAGCTGCATCATGGGTCTACCACGTATGATATGTTAAACTTTTTTTAATTTTATATAATATTTTTCATTGTCTGTTCACTCTTTTGGACCGTGCTTTGTGGCATTCTTTGGGGGAGGCCTATGTTCAGCAGTGGACTTGTGAAGGGCTGTAATGATGATGATGATGATGTTCACTCTTTTATGGTCGTAGGTCGTAGATACGCGTAGTGGGTTCGCCATTACTGAAAGAGTCATTTTTGAATTTATCAAATTGTTATCTATTACATTGTTTATAAGAACTTACCATTAAAACTGTTAAGATACTACGACTCGCACTATAGTAGTAGCTCATGTTTAGTAATTTGAATTGAATATTGACTCTTGTAAATTTTCAGATGGTGGTATTCAAATATATTGAGGACAAGGATGTGTTCCAGAAATTCTACAGTAAAATGTTAGCTAAAAGACTTGTACAGCATATGTCTGCTAGTGATGATGCAGAGGTAAGATTCTTCTTTATTTGTTATATTATATAATTATTGGTACGTCTGTTAGTGATCTTTTAACTTCTAAACGACTTGACCGATTGAGGTCATAGAGGACAGTAAACATAGTTGTTTTGTCGAGACGAAGGTTCATAGGTATGTTAGGATCCGATATGTGGCGGAGTTTTTGTAGTGTAAACATATAATTGATTAATAAGTCGACACTAATTCGGTGATTTTTTTTGGCAATAAACCAACTATTATAAAAATATTGTAAATGTCAATGTGTCAATTTAGAATTTGTTCTACTATATTTATGGAACCAACTGACTCATATTCACATTAAAGATATATTGTTAGCGGTAACATACTAAATGTGTACCCGATAGTTGTCTCTGTGGTCCAGTTGTGTAAAAAGTCCGAATTGAGTTCGGAGTGAAACTCATTTCGCCACATATCGGAAAGGCAAAACAATATTTGCCGTACCGTCTACTTTGTAACCTACTTCAAAAAGGAGGACGTTCTCATTTCAAGTGTATGTTTTTTGTATGTAAGTATATTACGCGACATCCTTCTCAGATTGTGAACCAATTTTGATGATTCTTTTTTAAATAGGATATACTTCAAGGTTGGGGGGGGGGGGGGGGGTTAGTGGGGTAGCAAATAAATACCTTCTTTTCTAGCGATTTGAAGTCTGTTTTTACTTAAAAGACATAATTATTTAACAAGTGATTGATCCGTGGAATTTAAAATATCTAAAAGTGAAAGGCCACGATTAAATGATTTAAACATATTGTCGCTTATAACAGACAGAAATTACTCTCATTAAAGTCTGCCATGATAAGAATGACAAACTACACATCTTCTTTTTTATTATTTCTCAGAAATGTTTTCCTTCACTTCTGCAACATTCTTATAAAATATTGATTGTTAAGTAACAGTATTAAAGTAGAGTAAAACTTAATTTTATCTTTCAGGCATCAATGATCTCAAAACTGAAACAGGCTTGCGGTTTCGAATACACAAGCAAATTGCAAAGGATGTTCCAAGTAAGTCTGCAATATATAATATTCGGTTATAAAACTATTTCAAAACATAATTATTATGTTGGAATAATAATACTCTAGTGATCGTCCATTGATCGAAATTCGACCGTAGTTCATTAAATTTTTAAGTTTGTATACTAAGTAAGCTGTATTTTACTTTCAACTGCACATAATATATAAAACAGATATTCAATACAAAATATAACACAAACTTTAGTCTCGATATGCACTCCACAGACAATCATCACTAGTTGGCTACATTTTAAAATTCTTTGGCGATAATTTCAGCTTTGTGCGACTGTTTGACCAAAGATTATATATGTGTTAAACATTAACAGTGTGAACGTAAACAAATGATAGATTATTATGTGTTTGACATTGGCAGTATAAACATAAACAATTAATGTTTTATTTTATTTTATGTATTTGTAACACATATTACCAATATATAAATTTTAGCTTACCGCACTTCTTTATATAAACTTTAACGATGGCATAACTTACACTGATCCGTGCGTGGAATTTGCTTAAAAAGGGGTAGTAAGTTTTCTCTCCTTTAAGTTATTTTTACATTAGGAATAACTCAAATAATATACAAAACTGCCGTTGCCGAGCGTGACATCTATGGCAAAAATTAGGGTGCTGTCTATAGGGAGGCCTACGTTAAGCCGTGGTATTTCCTAGGGTTTAATGATGATGATGTTCTCACTTGCCTTTTTACATGATTCCAGGACATTGGTGTATCAAAGGATTTAAATGAGAACTTCCGGAAGCACATGGCCAACACATCAGAGCAGCCATTACACATCGACTTCAGCATTCAAGTGCTGTCATCTGGCTCATGGCCATTCCAGCAGTCTTCTTCCTTCCAGTTGCCCACCGAGGTAGGTGGTCAATTACTAATTACCTATGGTTAAAAATATTTCTGGCATTAAATCTGATGCAATCTGATGGTTCCTAAAGTACCATTCAACAATTTAATGTTGCCTGCCACTAGAAGAACTTTTTTGTCTAATTTTTACCGTTTTCGAGTAATTTTTATGTTACGTTTTTACGTGGTAGAGCCATGCTGTAGCTATATTAGTAGTATGGTTGTAGCACGAATGGGTCGGCTCGACCGGGGAAGGACCACGCTCTCAGAGAATACCAACGTAATATAGCAGCTTTACGCTGCTGTGTTTCATATGGTGAGTGTAGAGAACCGGAGACCCTTTTTACTGGAAAGGAGGCATTCCATCTTAGTCCTCACGGGTGACAACGCATTTGCATTTTGATTCGTAATCGAGGATAGATATAGATGTCTATGGGCTACAGCAACCACTTACCATCAGGTAGACTGTGTGCTCGTTTGTCACCCTTATTGTATAAAAAAAATTGCGAAAAAACACTTGACAATTTTTTTTAACCCTTGCTGGGGGTTGCGGACACGAAAACCTTTACACATTGGTTTTGTATCATGAAAACTACATTATATCAAAAATCCAAAGTTAAGTATCAACATTTTGATTTCGGACCTTATTTGACTGGACTATAAACTGTGTTGGTTGCAGGTGTCAATTTTACTGTAGTCCATCGACACCTGCTACTTTAAACATAGGAGGCCTCAGATACATTGTCATTACTAAGGACTAAGATGAAATTCCTTACGGCTTGTATTATACTGGCCTCTTTTCCTACAAACTAAAACACAGCGATGGGTGCAGTACTGCTTGGTGACAGAAATAGGCATAAGAGTCAAAAGGCCAATCTTTATAGGTTTAAAGATCTTTATTACTCAATAAGACAAATACATGTCACTTACATGAAGTTCATTTTAAGGTAAATTCCACAGTCGTTCGCCAAATTAATTTCACCAAAACAATACGAGTCAAGGGCCAATCTTTATTGGTTTAAAGATTAAGGCAATTTTTTTTTTATAATATAAGGGTGACAAACGAGCACACAGTCCACCTGATGGTAAGTGGTTGCTGCCGCCCATAGACATCTACATCTATCCTCGTTTGCGAATCAAAATGCAGATGCGTTGTCACCCGTGAGGACTAAGATAGAATGCCTCATTTCCAGTAAAAAGGACCTCCGGCCACCTGCACTCACCAAGCGAAACGCAGAGGTAAACCTCTACTTCACGTTGGTATTCTGTGAGGTCGTGGTACCACCCCGGTTCGAGCCGGCCCATCCGTGCGACAGCAAAAGCCGCCGCGTGGCTCTACCACTGCGAATACAATACATGTTACTTAATTTCACCAATAACACAAACTTCACCCGCGCAACGCATTCATGATTATTTAAGTGAGTCATTTGCAACCAGATATTCATACAATTGTTTTTTTGAATGTGTTGAACGAGTTAACATTTTTTATGTGTGCGGGTAATTTGTTATAAAGTTGCGCTCCTTCAAATGTTAACATTGCGTTACCGTAATTTTTTCGAGTCTTGGGTAAGACGAGAAAACTCGCGCTACGCAAGCAGCAGCGATTATTATTTTATTATTTATTTATCCTTAAAAGTTCACCACTGCTGTCCATGGCAGACGGATTCACGACCGCAGATCTAGACGCACCTTTATGCTGTTTTCCGTCGCCACTCTAGATATCAATCTAGTTATAATGTTACCAAAAGCTTGATAAGATAACATGCATTTACTATAACATTAACATGCACTGAAGATTTATAAATCCTGTATTTATGAAACACCGGTAATATTTCTGTGATATAGTTGGAGCGTTCAGTACATCGGTTTACGACGTTCTACTCGTCGCAACATTCCGGCCGAAAGCTCAACTGGCTCTACAATATGAGCAAGGGCGAGCTTGTCACCAACTGCTTCAAGAACAGGTTTGTTTAGAACCCTACACCTTTATCAGTTCATCAACAGTCCATTGGTGGACATAAACTTGTCCAAAGTTGTGAGGTATTTTCATAATAGCCACGCTTGACGGATAGATTGTCAAACGCTGTAACAGACTTCTGGTCTGGGTGTTTTGCATCTTGTATAAATAGTTGTGAGGTGGTACTATGGTCATCTATTGGAGTTTACAGGATTGCATCCATTTATTCTATATGACTCATGAAGTCACTACATTTATTTTACATTAATTTACAATATTTTTGTTTCTAGATACACGCTGCAAGCTAGCACATTCCAAATGGCAGTGCTGTTGCAATACAACGAGAACACTTCGTGGACTGTGCGTCAACTAGAGCAGCACACCGGCATCAAAGGAGATTTTCTTATTCAGGTAATTTTTTATGTTTTTAGAAATTATTATTAGTAGATTACAAAAAAGCACGAAATTTCTTTATTGATTTGGACAATTTTGCAATATGTGCGTAACCAATAATTTTTTATATTATATGTTTCTACACATTATAAATTTTAAAAATTTATCACAAAGGAACCCTTATTATGGTCCTTCGAGTCGGATCATTAACATTAAATGTAAAATAAATTTATAGGTTCTACAAATCCTGTTGAAGGCGAAGCTATTGGTCTGTCAAGATGATGAAAGTGATCTAACGGAATCTTCCGTCGTCGATTTATACCTAGGCTATAAAAAGTAAGTTTCATACTTTACTGAATTTTTCTCTTAGGTATTATCATATTGGTATGGAATAATATTTTAATATATTTGTTTATAGTTTTGCTGCCATTATTAATTTGTAAATTACAATATATTTTATAAATTTTATAATTTTTTAACATAGAATTCAGAAAAAAAAAAGAGATTGAAGATAACATTTATAAAATATTAGGGTGTAAGTACTTAAGTTAGTAAGAGGTAAACTCAACTATTCTTCGCAGCAAAAAGCTTCGCGTTAATATCAATATACCGCTTAAGACGGAGTTGAAGGTAGAGCAGGAGGCCACACATAAGCACATTGAGGAAGACAGGAAGATGCTTATACAGGTGAGGACGACAATTACTTTGTTGTCATGTTTTTTTTTAATCGCTGTTGTGTGTTCATTTCATTTATGCATGCACTAATTTCAAGATCACTAATTGCAAGATCAAATCACAGCGAATAAAACTACTTTTACGGATTCTGATGCGTTTAATTATATGTACCTATTTTTAAATTCCCGACGTTTCGGGTGCTTTCCAGTACCCATGATCACGGGGGACTGAGGTGATTGACGTCCCGATGTCAGACTTAACCCGAAGTACCTTCAGCTTTTTTAATTATTAGTATTGGTCCGATCTACGCAGAATGAACTTACTGTGTCTTGATGTCTGTACTGTGTCTAAAAATAAGTATAATTAAACGCGATAGAATCCGTAAAAGTAGTTTTATTCAATGTGTAATGTTCGCGTAAATATAGACATCATTAAATTACAGCAAACCAAATTTATGATTTTTGGCATATCATTAAATGCGACATTTTAATTTCATAATGGTACAATATAACAATATAAAATTGCTTGTAATGTTTAAGGCCAATGCATTTAGATATAAATCACTTGAAACACTGACGTTCTGGGAAGTTTGTAGTGTGTGAACATGTTCAAGATAGTCCCCATTATTACATTAGATTAGAAAGACCACAAATCCTCGCAAAAGAACACTCGATTCCTACCAAGGATGATTCGCGAGGCTATTGAAATTAAAAAAAATACATCCTCCATCCTCCATTTCAATAGAGAAGATGGAAGGGTGCTGCCGTGTACTTGGGATCCTATAATTAATAAAATTAAATGCAACCCCAAGCACACCACTGCTAGACTTGCAAGATACTGTAAGCTCGTTCTGCGTAGATCGGAACAAAAATTAATATTCCAAAACTGAACGTAGCCGGGCTGACATCGGGACGGTCCCTTCCGTGACCATGGGTACTGTAAAGCACCCGAAACGTCGAGAATTAAAAAGTTAAATTAAACGCGATAAAATTGTAAAAATTAGTTTCAATTAATATAAATCCCTTCATTTGGGAAACCGTGTAGTGATGGTATAAGAATATCCACTACTCCATATCGTGTCGTGAGAGGCGATAGAGGGAAGCGGACATATGAGATGAACAGATTTTCCTGATAAGAACTCAAAATAATGAAAAACTGCGGTTGATAACCACCCTGTCAATGGCTACTGTGACACATGGTACAGCAGTGCTATTTGATAGGCTGTAATGAATAAATGGCACAATGCATAAAAAGAGTTTTGGCGTTTGGCCATATTATTGTTTAAATAATGGTTTGAAGTGGATTTTGATATGTAAAAGTGGTGCGATTTTGTGTATTAAATGTCTGCGCATGTGTACTAATTCGACATTCGACTATTACGAAACGGTGAAACAAGCGCTCCGATGGTGGTGTGAATCTCAAGATAAGGTGTCTGTTTGTTCAGGCGCCTTGAGATACTATCGCCAACTGTCTGCTGGCTCAAGTAGCCTTCAAACTCTCCCAAAACCCACGTAATGTGACGCATCAATATATTGTGAAGCAATGTACTATAAATGATTATTATCACTTGATACTGAGATAAATGAAGACATAGCTTAAAGGACAAGCATCCAAGCCAAAAATCTTAAAAAAAGACAATGAATAAAAAAAACATAATGAATGAAAACTAAGGAGATGAAAACGTAACGTCTGTGAGGCATTACATCTTGGTCTGTGAGGCAATCCATATTGTTCTATAAGATATTCCATTTTAAGTCCTTAGAGGTGACAATGCACCTGTGACTTTTTTGTTTGAGGTTGACTACGGGTGTCTAATCAGGTAGACTTTAGGTACGTTTGTCACTTCAGTTTATTAAAAAAAAAACCTTTACACCAATGAGGGCATCGACGACTTTTCTGCCACCAGGCGGCGCCACTTAAAAATGAGTTGTAATATTTGACAGATTTTATAGCATGGAAGTTAATTTGTTCGAAAAATGTTAAGGTTAATGTTTCTTTCAGTACTATTAGTTATAATTTATATTAATTAGCTTAAAACTAAATAAACCAAACCGCAGATATTAATAAAAGTGGCAACATTAAAAAAAAGAGTTAAAAATGTGCAAAAAACTAAAGAAAAAACCAGTGAGACATTGTTTTATGTATTAATACAGTACTTTAGAATCTGAAAAACTTTTATTTTAAACAAAATTCTCAATTAAATGATATTGTGTAACAAAAAACTATACCTCAGTGTCAACTAGCGACATCTGGTGAGAAGAAAATTATTAATGATTTCTTATATTTACGCGAACACTACACATTTTTAAATAAAACTAATTTTACGGATTTTATCGCGTATATTAACTTATTTTTATATTCCGTCCCACAGTCCCCCGTGACCACGGGTGCTGGAAAGCACCCGAATCGTCGGGAATATAATATACGCGATAAAATCCGTAAAATTAGTTTTATTTAAAAAAAGAAAATTATTAGCCCTCATTGACACAAATTTTCTATTGTATTACAGGCAGCCATCGTGAGGATAATGAAGACACGCAAAACACTGAAACACCAACATTTAGTAGTGGAAGTTCTCAACCAGCTGTCCTCACGGTTCAAGCCACGCGTGCCCGTCATCAAGGTATTTACTTTTATGATAAACAAGTTCATTTTATACAATTTTCATACATCTTACGACTTAAAGAAGGTGTGACGAGATTTTTATATGTGGTAGAACCATCTTACAGGTATATTATGGTTATATAACGAATGGGTCGGCTCGAACGGTGAACTACCAATCTGTCACAGAATAAAAGCGTGAAAAGCAGCTTAATGCTGCTGTTTCGTATGGTGAGTGTAGAGAACCGGATACCTTTTTTCTGGAAAGGAGGCATTCCATCTTAGTCCTCACGGGTGACAACGCATCTGCAATTTGATTCTTAATCGTGGATAGATGTAGTTAAATGGGTATATGGCCCACAGCATCCACTTACCATCAGGTGGAATGTGAGTAAGTTTAAGTTAATAACTGGTGGGCACAATACTGGCATGACGAAAGTAAAAAGTAAAGTTACAGCCTATATACGTACCGCTGCTGGGTACAGGCGTCCTCACTTCTGAGAGGGTTTTAGGGCAAGGAAGTGTCCGCCGCGTTGCCCCAATGCGTGCGTGTTGGTGGACTTCACATGTTTTCGATTTTTTTTCAGATATGCAGGTTTTCTCACGATGTTTTCCTTCACAGCCGAGTACGTAGTAAATCAGCACTTGAAATTGCAATTAACAATTTCATTGGTGCCGGCGGTAACGAACCCGATTTGCTCGCGGACTATGAAATTTAAAGCGAGCGCTAAGCCAAACACATACGATATAACATTTACTGACATTTAAAAATAGAGCACTACATCTCCGATTCGCGTTCGATGTGTGCAATAAATTGAAATTATTTTTGGACGGATAAATATATCCGTCCAAAAATAATATCCGTTTAAAGTCAATTTAATAAAAAAAATTAAATGAAACAGATGTTTTTTTAAAATATTATACATCCAATACGGGACATAGTGATACTAATAATATTATGTAATTAGTAATAAGAGCTCATGTAACATTGTGTCCCACAGTAAACATATTTTATATTTGATACTTTGTGACAGTATAACCGTCTCGTTAACGCTAGGCGTAAAATGCCCACATAGTAAGCAGCGTCAAAGGTGCGACTCGTCTGGTAGTGTTATCGTTAACCCACTAGCCAAGTGTGACGATCAATACAAATCCTACCTACGAAGTGAACTCTGACAGGCTGATAAAACGGAAATTAAAATAAGTAATAGATAAGCATGCTTCATACGATACCTAACGGGCCATTTTCTTTTTTACAGAAATGCATTGACATCCTGATCGAGAAGGAATATCTAGAGCGCACCGAAGGGGAGAAAGACACGTACAGTTACTTAGCGTGATGCGTCCGCTCCTACACACAACCTATATGTTAATAAATAAATATAACAGTATTATGCATTGCCTATTTTTAAACCCTACTGTATAGATATTATATAGCTTCAAATCATTGGGTGTTGCAAAAAGGAGGAGGAGTAGGCAGATGAGATTTTCGCTTGTAGGTTCAAAACTTGACTTAGGCCATAAAATTTCTAAAGTTGGACGTTATTAAGCAAAAATGATTCTTATGGTGATGAATTTACACTAAGAGTTAAAAATTATTCAAAAACAAAGACTTCTATGTATACTACAGACGCGCTCTGCGGCCTTAATACATTGCACACTAAGTAAAGCCAGGCACATACATACGGAATTCTGATTCGAGATTCCGAACGCAGCAAGTTCATATAAAATCTATGATTCGTCACACTCGTACGGTAGATCCGTTCGAACGTAAAGCCGGCCTTACGGTCAATTCTCCGTAATTCCTTTAGTCGACTACGGAAGGGCGAAAATACTAGTTCTTTGTTTTGTAAAATGCGAACATTGTTTTCGACAATCTAAGACCGATTTTGTTATAATGTGAATAAGAAAACGCTGTCATTATTTATGTACGCACTTTGTCAACGTGATTTAAAGTTTATTTCATATAAGTATGTAACTTTATTTCATATTTGCCTAAAACAGTAACTGTCGTAAATGGACCTACAACTGCGTAGCATACGTACCGTGCCATCTATCGCCCGCAGCCGCTCCCGTGCGATCCACAGCTCTGATCTGTGACACAGTTTTTGTTCTGATTTGACGGTCTAGTAGTGTATAGACGTCTTTGGTCAAAAATGGTAACGTGGTAAAATACTGGGTTTTAGTTTTAAAAATCATTAACCGATTCGTTGCGGCACCAATTTTCGACAACTTTTAGCTGTGGCGGCGAACAAATATTTCATGACACGCTTATTGTGCCATCCGCCATGTGTAAAAGTAATGTTCTTTTTTTATGCTTTTTTTACGCTTTTTTTTACGCTTTTTTTACACTTTTTTTACTTGTTTAGACCTAATTAGGTTTATTTGACATCAAACATAAGTTACAAATGGAAGGATACTTGTTTTTAGTGGGTAACTACGTGTTTTTTTACGCGTTTTCTTTGAAATTTATAGTAAGTGACTGTTTTTATAAAGAGATTACAAACCTTTTGTACTATTTTTTGTTGTTATAAAAAAATCATTTATATAAGTAGGTACAGCTAAATCACCCTGGAAACCTTGGTTTTTATTAAAATAAATTTTCACCTAATAATAACATTTGTAAATATCAAACAATGAAGAACCTTAATTTGAAAGAAAAATAAGGTATATCATTCATTGATATTTACAAATGTTAAATATTATTTAATGTTATACAAATGTAAAAGTAAAGTCGATCTGAAAACGTCTAATTAGTAAGAATAGCAAAACAAGTGTTTTCAAAAGGAAAAAAACGCCGGCGCTATACGGCGGCGGATTGACAAAAGACTATTTATTAGCGAACTTTTTTATGCATGAACGGTTTCGAACTGTTTCAAGCAAAAATAAACCTTATACCATATCACAAGAGCACATGGTACTTCGTAGGTATATTCGGCCATATGATAGTAATAAGACGGCAGTTCAACAATTTTAAGCAAAATTAAACAATAAGACAAACGCATTGTTTTTTTTAACAGGAGATTTGATTTCCAGAAATTTATTTACAACTTGAGTTTGTGAGCGATCGCAATGAGTGCTATTATTTGTTACTTATTAGACAATTTTTCCATAACATGATTTAAAACCCACAAAGTAAAAATAGTACCATGCACACGTTAAAAAAAGGTTGTCAACCCCTAAAAATTTCAAATTTTCAAAATATCCATCTGCATGCATGAAGTACTCGCAAAATAATGAATATTTTGTTCTGGATAAATTTTCCAAAAAAGCAATTTGAGAGAGTTATAACGATTTTAAAAAGACACGACTCGCGTGTCATACGCCACACACAAAAGTAATCGATGGCACGCCTGGCGTGTCACCGCTCTGAACCGGTTAATGTTACAATCAGTAGAATAGCCATACGTCGGTGAATAAAATGTCTACAAAATAAAGTAAGCGACGTTGCGCTATTAAAAGGTAACAAGGCTAAATGTTGTAATTCGTTTAAGGGCTCTAATTTTATTAGTCTGAGAATTTATGCAACCATTTTTAAAACTTTTTTCCTATGGCGTGACTGCGGAGCAGGAAGAATTTCTAATTATTGCAATTCATACAAATGTGAACTTTAATCAATTAAGAATAAACTCGGTTTTCGAATCACAAATACTGTTCAAAAGGTTCTAAAGCTATCTTAGTTGTTATAGAAATAAAACTTTTTATGATGGGAATGTTTGAACTTAATCTCTCCTCAATGCTCCGCGACTGTGCTTTAGTAAGGATAATAAACGAGCACACTGTCCTTCTGATTGTAAGTGAATGCTGTGACTTAGATACACATCTTCCATTAAGAATTATAATTAAAAAAGGAAAAATTAAGAGACTCACTTTTAAATAGGTAGAAAAAATAACTAAAAGGACTAAAAGTATTACAATCATCGAAATCCTTTGTAAATTGAAGAGTTAGATGATTTTCTCATTTTATCAGATCTTGACTAAATTAAAATGTATAACGTATATATACAACTTTCTAACAAAAATGAAATAAAAACCGGCGATGTGATAAAATTGACGCTGAACATATATAAAAAAATACAAATTTAGGATCCTTTGTACTCTTATTTCTAGAAGAGGGGGTAAACGAGCATGTAGCTCACCTGATGGTAAGTGTCGTTGCCCACGAACAACTGCAACACTAGGGGAACTGCAGATGTGTTGGCGGCCTTTTACAAAGGAATAAGCTCGTTTCTTGTTCACTCTTTTTTTTGTATTCATTTGAAAATTCAGATTCTTTGTTACTCCTGAGGGCTAATATGCTAAGATCGAACGCTTCATTTGCACGTTACCAGTGAAAAGGATTTACGGTTCTTGACACTCACAATCCTAAGGGTTTAGTGTTCTGTGCTCACAATACGAAATACATCAGCACTAAAACCATACGTGATAAACATGGCAGAACCACGCGAAAGCTGAAATATATAATGCAAGGAATCAATATTAATAAGTAATTTATAAAAACATTTTTTATATTGCACTGTAAAATCAGTATAATATTAAAAAAAAGTTTGTCAGAAGTGGGATTCGAACCCACGCCCTCAGAGAGGACCAGAACGCCCGAAACTCATATCAATGAGTAAGGAAACCTTGAGTCTGGCGCCTTAGACCGCTCGGCCATCCTGACAGTTATGTACTTGATCAAATTTATAGTCTACATTCCAAAACAAAAGTAAGAAAATAACCAATGAAAATGTTTTAATGCAGACATTTTAAGCGAACATATCTTTTGTATATTTGTATAAAGCAAAATGTTTTAAGAAAAATTGTAAATAAAATGTAGCGACGAGAGTGTTCCAACAGACTTCGGATAATTAACTTGGGAAACCATGAACAATTAAAACGAAATTCCATCAAAACATCGCCTATTTCAAGTATTTTAAGTGCAAAAAAATGCCAGCAACGCAAAGTCAGGAATTTGCATTTAGAAAAACGTAAACTCCCTAGTTTAGGTGTAATTAATTAGGTGCCAAGTTTAAAAATTAGGTGCTCTAAAATTTTCACCGCAACGAACTGTTGAAATTTGCGTTGCAGGAATAAACATAGTTACTTCTGCAACGGCTTCGGCGCTGCGGGGAGTGCAGCCCCTTCGCTAAAGTTTAAAAATTAGTTGCTCTAAAATTTTTACCGCAACGAACTGTTGAAATTTGCGTTGCAGGAATATTGACATAGTTACTTCTGCAACGGCTTCGGCGCTGCGGGGAGTGCAGCCCCGTCGCTAAAGTTTAAAAATTAGTTGCTCTATAATTTTTACCGCAATGAACTGTTGAAATTTGCGTTGCTGGCAAAACGTATCGCTAGCAACGCAGTGATGATAATAGATATACGATAAATATTAATAGCCAGGAATTAAGTGCTAATTAAGTGTTGGAAGATTATTGGTGTCGGATGTAGATGACGGTAATATTTTGGGAATTATCGGGTACAGGACCACCATTACCTTACTATAAATATGAATGGCATTTTTTTTCTTATTTTTAAACTAATTTTTAAACTCGGTACCTAATTAGCACCTAAAAAGCCCCTAATTTGGGCTTTCTCTAAAAGCAATTTTGATTCTATTTTGATTTTCAGAAAACCTGAATTCTGCATGTGCTATTTTCTGAATAACGACCTTATTTTTATTAGGGGCGCCTTGTTATTGCGTATACTTGCAGCACCTAATTAGCACTTAATTCCTTGCTATTAATATTATTCGTAGGTATATTTAATAACTTCATTGCGTTGCTAGCGAGACGTTTTGCTAGCAACGCAAATTTCAACAGTGAAGTTATTAAATATACCTACGAAAAATGGAATAAAATGATATGAATGGAGTTTGCATTGCAACAAGTGCTCGGAGCGGACGTGTCTGTAATTTCGTCACAAAATTATTGAATACTTAAACTGATTAGTCAAAGTAAACTGCATCCAATCTATAGTGTGCTAGTGTATACTGTTAAATGCGTTACTAAGTGCGTCAAACGACATAATCGTCTTGAAGATTAGATTAGTAATTTAAACCTGAACAAGTGTTCTCTTCACCCCCTCGAGTAAAAGAAACGGGCTGCGACTCAAAAAATAATTCATCTCATTCACTCCACGCTACCAACCTATATTGACACCGTCTGCACAGGTACGCATACCATCCATGTATTAACTTATTAACATGTCCGTACAAAGTTCACCAACTGAGCGACCTATTAAGGATACTAATAGCAATAGAAATGAGGCAAACACATCTCGCCATGAATGCCAACCTGATTTGCGGCAATTAATATCATGTGACACAGAGACAAGACAGGTCACCTTAAGAAAAAGAAAA